TATCAAAGCATTGGAATGACGTCATCACGATGAGGGGGGGGGGGGGGGGGGGGGGGGGAGGCCCGACTTTATTTTAAAGCTATAAGAGAATAAAGACGTTTTTATGGGATTTTCCTTATCAAAACATTGGAATGACGTCATCGCGATGAACGCGCGCTCATTTTTTGGCAGGTTTAATGTCGTAAATCGTGAATAAAATCATAGCTTGCAAAAGAGTGACTTAAGGTGACTGCCTACTTTTGGGAAAAAAATTAAACTTTTTCTTAAAAAACTTAGATTTTCCGAATTGAAATTTAATGCTGATTCCAAATCTGGAAAGCTTGTTTTCGAGATATTCATCATTTAATGGAAGCCTACGCGCGAGTATTTAGAGCAAAACTTGCGCCACCTGAAGTGATCAGAAAAAAATAATTGAAATTCATAAGATAATAGTTATTTGCAGACTATATATGATTGCACGAGTGAGGGCTAGTCAATCATTCTACATTAATGCGTGGATATTTTCGACAAAAAGACAAAGAGATACAGTGATTTGTTAAATTTTGTAGTTTCGGTGAAAAAATCTCATATAGTCAAACAAAGATCCGTACAAAAATTTATTTTTTCATGTGTTAGAAAATTAACCTTTTCTAAAATGTTGATATAACCTACATTTTTAGTTTTTTTTTTCGAATAAGCTATTAAAAAATAGAGAGTACCATGCAAAATTTGAGGGTTTTGCCCTGTTGAAGCTCAAAACGCGTATGGTTCTTCAATAAAATCTTGTAGCAGCGGTTTTTGAGCGCGCGCACATCGTGGGCTCAAGAATCGAACGTTCAAAAGTAGGCAGTCACCTTAAACTAAAAGAATGACTTAATAAAATAAAATATCATTGGATCATCATCATTATCATTTTGAATGGTTCCTTCTCAAACTTTTCTTGGATCCGAGAATAACACGAAACTGGAAAAGAAATCACACTTTTTCCCAATGAAATTTGTGGCATTTCTTTTGTATTTCCTTTCAAGAGAAAACGATATGATTTTTTTGATGAGAAATTAAACTTTTTGGGGGGGGGGGGGGGGGGAAAGTAGCATATCAAGTTTTTTCTATATGCTAGTGTCGAAGTTGGAGTAGAGAAAGCTCACTCCATGTATGGTATGATAAATTCCATATTTGGAAAGTGCGGAAAAGCGGCAAACAAAAAGGCCGTCGTTTTATAACAAATTCGTCAAGAAAAGAAAAGAAATAAAAAAGATAAGTAAAAAAAGAAAAACTTTGGAAAATCGATGAAGAATACAGGGACGATGCTAACTCGTGGGTCTGCCTCGCAGACAACAGACACAGGGAAATACGACACTCAATGTTTGATATGAGGGAAGAAAATTAGTTTTGTTTTTGGTTGGGGGTGGAGTAATTATAGTGTTAGAAGAAGCATGACGCCTTTTTAAAATATGGTTTATTCATATCCCTTGATACTGGAACAAATAATAATACTAATTTCGTTTTAGACTACTTGCAAAGTCTCTTCACCAAACGCTGTATTATGGAAGATGAAATGCATACAAATTCTTCAAGGGGGAGAGGGAGGGGTGAACATCAGCTGAACGACTCTCGCATTATGTCTTGATTAGTGGTTGCCCGTAGTATGCTAAACCTGACCTGCAAAAAATAGAAGATTATGATATTCATATTAATCTCTGTTTCCGATCAGACAACAGCGGACCAATTACCGTTGCAGCAGGGTTTTTTCCCAGTGGAATCAAAATATTGTTCCACAAACAAGTGCACAGTATCTGTTTTAAAGAGTTTTACAATTTTTTCTAAAGGACAAAAAACAATCTAAAAACAGTTGATCAAAAATATTTTTTTGGTATCAAATTTAATTCTGAGATTAAATCATAATAAATTATATTTAATATTAAATATTTTTTTGGTATCAAATTTAATTCTGAGATTAAATCATAATAAATTATATTTAATATTAAATTTTAATTCTGAGATAAATGCTAGCTATTTTTAAGCTCTTGAGACATAAAGTAACTATAGCTAGTCAGAACTAGAGATCTTAATAGTAAAATGTCTGTGTGGGTAACACATATGTTTCATGGTAAATACAAACATAGATTGTAAACTTGCCATTGACAATTACATTCTACCCAAAATCTACCGAGTGCCTTACTAAATATGATGTTGCTTGATTACAGACTCATTTACTCAGGGCTAGCCTCATTTCACTTCAATGGAGCACGTGAATATTATGCACAAAATCGAGGGTAACCTTGAGCAGCAGCGAATCTGTAGCTTCGAAATACATATATTGGGATTTCTATATTCTAAACGGGCAACCCATCACATGCTTTTCATACCTTTTCAGCATTTGGTAGCTTCTACGAGTTTAATATCATGTTCTAGTAATTTTGCCACCTTTTGGTTGTCGAAGACGTCTTTCAAGTTACAGACCTGCTCCTTTTCTCTGGGACTAAGCTCTAGAGTTGCAGGACAGTCTTTGGTCAGTGCTTTGGCGTCGTCCTGAAGAGAAAGAATAAGGAAGAAACGAAATGAATCAGATAGAACATCACATGGCTTAGCATGCCTGCCTGCCTGCAATTCTATTACCTCGGTTATTTTCATTTTCTCCGCGATGACTTTAGTATCGTATCCATCTCTGAGGTGTCCACATGCCGTCTCTTGCTTTGTCTTGTCATTCAGCAAACATAATTCATGGAAATTTCCTTTTTTTGCCACTTCCTTCCAACCCATGCTTAAGTCTTTTTTGTTAATGTATCTGGTCAAATATAAAATAAAAACAGAACATAAACTTTATATGGACACGAAGAAATAAAACATTTGCGCACGAGTGCGTTTCACAGTCATTCACAGTCATTGAAATATTGAGAGAGTATAAACTATCTTAAAGACGCAACACCCAAAAAGACATATTGGTTAGTAAGGATGAAGTTTGAAGAAACGGGACCTCAGACATATTGGTTAGTTAGGATGAAGTTTGAAGAAACGGGACCTCAGACATATTGGTTAGTAAGAATGAAGTTTGAAGAAACGGGACCTCAGTTTAAAGTGGTCGTCCGGGCCACTCGAAGACTAATTATGTGTAGATGTAATTACAACATTAAATAAAGATAAGACTTTTAGTTACCGGAATCCTATCTTTCTTGCACAATTCTCAGCACTGTCAGAGGTCTTATCATCGCCAAAGTCAAAAAGAGCTTTTCCCTTATCGTAGAGATCGTCAAATGACGATATCCCTTCTTTACAAGAGTCCATAACATACTTGACCATCTTGACCTTTTGTGCGAAATAAATGAAACATTAAAATAAAGTTTACTGTAAACAAAATGAGCAGTTTTACTGGACATGTTTTGACGTTGAGGACAATGATAATGATGGTAATGATAAAGGTGATGATGATTATTATGATGGTGGTTGTGGTTGTGGTTTTGGTGACGTGGTGATGTTAATGATGATAGAGATGATGGTGGTGGTGATGGTGATGATGGTGATGGTGGTGATTTGGTGATGTTGATGATGACGATGATCGTGATGTTGATGATGATGATGATGGTGATGGTGATGATGATGATGATGATGATGGTGGTGGTGATAGTGGTGATGATGATGATGATGATGATGGGGATAGTGATGATAGCGATGATGATGTTGATGAAAATGATGTGATTACCTTGTTTGTGTAGCACTTAACAGTGAAGGGGATTTTTCTCAATGCATCGATCAGGTTTTCCTCTAGTCTGTATGTTCCTTTTAGAGATCCAACTTCTTTGATGTCAACAACAAACGTCTGAAGATCAATAGCTACTTGAATCTGGAAAAAATACCATCATCTGTAATGCTAGCTAATTGAGGCAGCATATTTCCAGATCAGGAAATTTACCCCATCCCCCTCCCCCTCCGTTGGTAATTATACTCAGATTACAGAAAAGGAACCAATTGCTAGGAACATCCATCTTTCCTACAGTCTGTGATCCAACATTTTCCCAGATCAGGAGCCAGTTACTAGGACCATCTATTTCCCATATTAGCTGGGTCTGTGATCCACGATATATATTTCAAGAACAAGAGCCGATTAATGGTTTTGTGTGGTCATTGTTATATCAAAATCTTCTTGGAGTCGGTCCTTACCAGTTCTGGACTTGGAGACGATATTCCTTCCACCATTGTCTTGATGTTTTCTATCACTCCAAGTGTACTTTCGTGTGTTATGTTTCCTCTCAAAAACCTAAATGACTACAGTAAATACTACAAATAAAAACCACGAAGAAAAAGAGGGAAGGATGCAGGGGTGCAAGGATGGAGGGATAGAGTGATGGAGGGATGGAGGGATGGAGGGATGGAGGGAGCGATGGAGCATTGGAGGGACTTGTTATAGTCT